CTTGAGTTACTTGGTACTTTTTAAGTTATATTGCAAGACACCAAATCCCAGTAAATTCAACAAAATTCTGTGCCCAGATAATTCTGCTGTGTAGATGCACACAGGAGTCAGCATTGGAGAAGACCTGTGAAGTCTCATTCCAGTCCAGCCTACTCCAGCCAGTGCAGAATTGCTCCTTACAGGACATTTCCCAGTGTTTGCCCAAGTCAAGGTAAAAATATCTTAAGCAAGCTTCCTCTCCACACACTATGCTGGTCTGACCCTTTTATAGCGCTTCCTTTGAAGCCCTGAGTAACAGGGCAGCTCACAGTCGGTCTGTACGAACATACTAAACCGAATTCATGAAAATGGAGCGTGTGCCAGACAGTTATTACACCTTCCGTGGATGCACAGAAGGTCTGTCTCTATGCCGCAGGTCAGCAGGGTCATGTTTGAGGCATATGATTAATTTGCAGTTCTACTGCGTCCAGGGGCAGCAGGGGAAAAGGGAAAAAAAAGAATCTTGACAGCATCAAATGAGGCAGGAGAGGTTATTGCTTAACAAGAGCCTTTAAACTATCTTTGTGTAAGGCAGTGTCTAAAAAGTTAATAGACAAAAAATGATTTATTGATTAGCGGCATCGCATGGGGCGTTAGCACACTGACTGCAGGTGAATCCAGAAAAAGGCCTCTGCATGGTTCAATTAAACTTCAGCCAGTCGTGTGAGACAATTACAGAAAATTCAGAAAACTGAAAATGCGACAGAGATGTGGAAGGCTGCTGTCACTTGGCCTTTGTTGCCTTAAATAGAGCCTTTTGCCGGAGACAAAGGAGTGCAGTAGCCCAGAGAAGATCCTGTCATGATTTTTTATGTCAGATATTGGGCCAAATAGCCTATGTACCTTTCAGCATGGAAAGAAAGCGCACAAGGGACCCTCAAGCACAGTCGTGGCTAGACTGTGTGTAATGGACTGGAATAGCAAGTCAGGTCTGTGTTCCACCAAGCACTCCGTATTCCACCCAGAGACCTCCCCTACTGCCAGATTGGCGCATGGACCGGCAAACACCTAAAGAGATGTAATAAGCGAAGCACAAGAGAGCAGGCAAGGGAGAGCAAGTTTTTAAAAACAACAACATAGGTTGGGGCTAGGAGCGCTGAGCTCTCAGCACTTTGCAGGGTCAGGCCCCATAAGAGAACCCACATTTCTGGCATGTTACTGTGCCTGGTCGGGTATTTTTCTAACAACACATCAGCACAGGGTCGCGGATAGTGATGCTGTAAAGTGTGTGAGTGGCCACCCTCCGGGTGTAACCCCAGGTCGGGACAAAGCTGAAGTTTATTATATATGAATAGGATGGTCCTGGGATGAAGGTGCTGGATCAGGACTCACAAGAGCAGGGTTCAGTTTCCATTTCTGCCATAGACCCTAGGCAGATCACCTCTCTGTGCCTCATCTGCAAAACAGAACTCCCTTTCTGCCACTCCTTGTCTTGTTAATTTCTATTGTGAGCCTTTGGGGCAGGAACCAACTCTTTCCATGTGTGGAGCCCTGAGCTCAGTCAGGGCCTTTTTATGGTTCCCTAATGCTAATAAGAAGCCACTGCTGGTGACTGCAGTCAGCAAACAGTTTATTTTCCTCAATGAAGGAAGATGCTAATCCAAGCCTGTATCATGACTGTGTGCATTTTTTTAAAGAGATTGCCGCCTAGTGTCCGAATTTCGATACACCTTTGTTAGCAACGGTGTCACACTACATCTCACAGTACACACACTTCCTATTGTCATTTACATTGCAGTAGCAACCAGAGGCCAACCTACCAGGGCCCCAATGTGCTAGGTACTGTACAGACATGCAGGAAATGGCAGTCCCTGTCCCAGTGAGATTATACTCTAAATGACAAGACGGACAAAGTCGTAGGGACAAACAAGCGGTCTAGAGAATGGGGGTAGGGGTGTCACAACAGGATGTATGCAAATCTTAGCCAGTCAGGAGGAGCCATCAGAACTGACCACTCCCTTATTGCATTCCAAAGTTATAGAAGTGGAGCTGCTTGGGAATTTTCCATCACACGCATTTCAGTTTGGGATGCTGAAAACAAAACTCTACAACATTTCCAAATCAAAAATTTTGGGACCTTTTCATGCTGCAAAAAATGTCACTAATTTCAGCTTTCCATCCCAGTTCAGGATGAAAAAAAAGGTTGACATATTGGAATGTCCCACCAGATAGAATTTCTGCTTATGGCTCTGCTCTGCACAGGAAGTTTTACCCATCAAGCTCGTGGATGGTGTAAGCAGGCAGGCAGATTTGCCAGCCAGCAAATGGTAAAAAGGTAAAGCCTATAAGTCAGTTTGAGCCCCTGGACTCAGGGTTCATGGCATTAAAACAAAAAGATCCAAAACATGAGCAACGTGACTCCGGACACCAGATCACAGCCAGGGCCGGCTCCAGGCACCAGCGAAGGAAGCAGGTGCTTGGGGCGGCCAATACAAAGGGGCGGCACTCTGTCCTGTATCGGGGCGGCACCTCCAGGTCTTCGGCGGGAATTCGGCAGCGGATCCCTCAGTCCGTCTCTTCCTCTTTGAGCTGCCGCCGAAGTGCCGCTGAAGAGGAAGAGAGGGAGTGAACGACTCGCCGCCGAATTGCCGCTGAAGAATGAAGCGGCGCGATTGAGCTGCCGCCGAAGTGCCGCCGATCGGCTTTTTTTTTTTTTTTGGCCGCTTGGGGCGGCAGAAAAGCTGGAGCCGGCCCTGGTCACAGCAGCCAGAGACCTTTCTTTCCAGTTTTCAGTAAGCAGAGCAGAGAAGGAACACGCCCTTCTCCTGGACCCCTTTTCTGCATTTCCCCCGTCCTATCACAGCCCCGCCCTAGATGAGTCAAGAATCAGGCAGGGAGCCAGGGACTCCTTTACATGCCGAACACAGGCAGAGCCTTTCCACCTCGTCCCAATGGAGCTGTGCTCCTAAGTCACTTAGGAGCTTTTGAATATCCCACTTGTTGTGCCCAAAAGGTTTGTATCCTGGGCTCTCATTTGCAATACACATTTAAAGAAGTTGCAGTATTGATGGTAGAATGCCTAAATCTCGTCTGCTCTGCTTTTTGTTTTTCCCTCCTCCAGCTTATAGTCACTTGTGTTTGCTCTGATGGTAACGTACACAATGAATGCTTTAACAAGGCAACTCATATATGCCAATAAGTTCAGTCGATAACTGACTTAATCATGTTCCTATTACACCCCACGGGTGCTAACTACAAAATGTGACCTTTACTGGCTGCTCTGAAGACACTGTAATTCATTTCTCTGGGTGTGAGTTTGACTTGTCTGACAGTCATTTGCAGAAGAGAGCACTGAAATCACTTCTAGAGGCAAACTGCATGGGATCATGAACACCCTTCTCTGGCCGAGGTCACCTCCGCATCCGTTGAGAGCAGGGCGGTTGCTTTAGCTTGCCAATAGCTGGCACGCCATTAGAATTCCAAATTCTGATAAGTTGTGCTGTGATATGGAGGAATCATGAGTGATGGGGCAGTCAGCTGGAATTAAGAGGTCCAATCATTTGTGATGCAATATGGGGATTGTGTCAGACTAAACTGTAAATTCAAAATCCCAATTTCCTTCACTACAGTGCTTTGCCTTCACTATAATATGGCAGTCAGTGAGCTAGGTCAGCCAATCACCTGTCGGAACCCAGAGCAGTTACAGTACTGTTTGTTCCCTTAGGGAATAACAGGCATGCTTCTTATTGCACTAGTGAGTAACCACAAGTCAAAGCATTGAGGGTTTCTCCACAGATACAAATACAGCAGAAAGCTTTTGCAATATGCAAAATAAAAACACAAACAGCAGTAAAATAGCACTTTACTCTGTGGTAGTTTTTGTCATGTGAAATCTAAAGAAGTTAGATCAACATGATTTTCAATTAGTATAAAAATTAAGGGGATTCTTTTATCTCTGCTTATACCAACATTATTCCAAATGCAAAATAAAATTGTTAACGAAGAGAGAGTTGTGCAGAACTTAGGTTGGAGTTTGCTGAGATTTGTTTCAATGTTTTCCAGTTGGGTTCACGTGATTGAGTTTCTTATTGAGTTTGGGGTTTAAATAAATCAAAAATGTCTGAATATATGTGAAACCAGAAGTGTCCGCTGGGATTTTATTTAAATATATAAATCAACCCAAGTTTTCCTTATCAATCCTTAGTGAATCCTTCAATGAACACAAACTCAGTTTTCAGTCTGTAAGGTTAGCCCAGCAGCAGACTTGGCTTGGGGTTTCAGTCATTTTGCAGAGCTCTAAATCATAGCTTTCCTGACATTTATTGGAGTCGAAGGGCCTAATTCTCTTCTGACCTACCATGGAGTAAATCAGGGGTAAATCCATGGACATCAGTAATGTGACACCAGTATAAAAGAGGTGGTAAATCAGGTCCCTCCATTACATGTGATTTGCTACACAGATTCAGATCACTGGTCCTTCCTGTCCAGCATCCTGACTTCAGCCCTGGCCAACACCTGTACTTCATACAAACATATGAATAGCAAATCCAAACTATAATGCAGCTAGCCAATAGCATAATCCTGCACATTGTGGGGAAACGCCTTCCTGATCTCTGTAGTGATCATCTTATGCATATACCAGGACATGAGATTGCCACTCTCTTTAGTTGTGGACCTAAAATGAACCAGTCCTTTTGAAAACTCCAGTTACAGTTTCTGACTATATATTCACTGGGTACCAAGAGGAGGCTGTTCTAAGTTTTTGGTAAGGCTCTTGTTCAAGACCTGACTTTGGTTACTATCAAGACACTCTCTTCGAATCCAATGATACTTTTCCCATGGAGGTAGTATTAGGATTGTTTGGGATGCAATGCACCAATGCACTGTTGTTGGCTATTAGATTTTACTGTCCAGCTTGACCTTTCAGTTTGTCTGCATGCTCAGTGAAATTACACAGGCTCTTGGCATGGTTGACTTTGTCTAAAGGAGCGGGCCCTCTTTTTGTCTTTGTTTCCCTCTAGTTATGGTGACATGGTGCCCAAGACGATTGCTGGAAAGATATTTGGCTCCATTTGCTCGCTGAGCGGAGTGCTGGTCATTGCTCTGCCTGTCCCAGTTATTGTTTCCAATTTCAGCCGAATTTATCATCAGAATCAGAGAGCTGACAAGCGAAGAGCACAAAAGGTAAGTCCCATTTATCCCAGACAGCACCTTCCACTGACAGACTGCACAGTTTACAGTCACACCTGCTTTACTGGTAGTATCACTAGCAACGCAGACGCAACATGGGCATTTTATCATGATGGGAGTTGCTAGCATTAAGGGAAGAATAAAAGATACACACAAATCACAGGGCTCGGTCACCTAGACCATTCCCCCACAGGGGCAGAATTGTTCCCTATGATATTGTAACAAATCCATGGTCACGTTGGAATTTCACTGTTGTCCCTGTGTCACACAGCATGGCCATTGGGAACTTTATGGAAAAAGCAGGGATAGAATTCACAGCCTTCTGCTCCAAAAGCCCAACTTGCTACACTTAAGCTAATGGCAAATCTCAAAATCATTGTGTGTAAGTCATATGAGACACAACTGCCACTTCTGTTTCTATCTAGTAAGGGCAGTGGTACACACATACACCTTACCTACATCTACGCACATGTGCATTTACTTACGCCTATACAAACACACTCATCTGCCCACATCTATACACACACAATCTAGTTCACTACAATGTATTTTCATCTAATCTTGTTTTAAATGTATGAAGCAATGGGGTTTCCATTGCTGCCCTTTATTACACACCAGCCTGGTTCCACCGTGATAAAAAATGTACATCCTTATTTTTTATCTTTATCAGGAGTTATTCACCCTTTTGGCTGTGTGGTCCCTTTGTAGTCTTATCATGTCCGAGCTTTTTTAAAAAAATAAAAAGCTACTGCACGTAATACAGAATTAAAGGCTGGCCATAATCAGCAGCTCCTGGGAATTTCTGGGGTTTACCAGTGATATACTAATACATTCAGTGCAAAAATATAATGCATGTATTGCATTCTTCATTTTGGACCTGCCAACTTATACTAGAGCCAGGACTGCAGAATCAGGTTCTTATAGCTACTAGAGACTAAGGCCCAGTCTACACTTAAAATTTAGGTCGACCTAACTATGTCGCTCAGGGGTGTGAAAAATTCACACCTGAGAGATGTGGTTAACCCAACTTAAGCCTCAGTTTAGACTCTATTAGGTGGATGGAGGAATTCTTCTGTCAACCTAGCTACTGCCTCTCGAGGGGATGGCTTACCTACAGCAATGGAAAACCCTTTCCAACACTGTAGTAAGTGTCTACACTACAGCTGTGTAGCTGCGGCACTGTAGCATTTGTAGTGTAGATCTAGCCTAAAGATTTCTTTTCTTCTGTGAAATGTTGTCTGCCAGGAATCCAGTGTTAGGGGACTCAATGGAGGGTGTGTTATTTCTACCCCAGGCAAGTATCTAGGGTGTGTCTCCATCTTGCATCTCGGAAGGCAGAGATGGGACCGGCAAATTCACAAATGTTGGCATTCTGGACCTATAGGATAGCAACAAGTGGACAGCTGCCATGCAGAAATGAAATGCATCTGCCATATATTAGCTCTGGGTGTTGCATCTACATTCAAAATAGATTTGACAGTGTATATACTGTATATCCTTAAAAATCTTACAAAAAATCTCCATTTTACCAGCTATTTGAAATGTAGAGTGTAACACAATGTAATTTAGATGAAAAACATAATATAAATGCATAATAATGTAAATATGAAATATATATATACACACACACACACACACACGTTTGCCCATTTGGTAAAAAGTGCCATCCACGCAGTTGTTTCACATGGCATTAGCCATCATGTGGCTGGTATGAGTCTCTACAGTAATTCATGTAGGACCCAGCCTTGCAATGTGATGTGACTTCATGTGGGCATAGGGCTCACAGAAGCAGATCCCTTTGGGTTTAAATTTTAATGCTAAGTAGCTTATACAGCACAGCCTCACTGTATTTCTATACATTTCCAGTGTTGTAGCTGTGATGGTCCCAGAATATTAGTGACACGAGGTGGGTGAGGTGATATCTTTTATTGGGCCAACTTCTGTTGGTGAAAGAGACAAGCTTTCGAGCTTACATAGACCTGAAGAAGAGCTCTGTGTAAGCTAGAAAGCTTGTCTCTTTCACCAACAGAAGTTGGCCCAATAAAAGATATCACCTCACCCACCTTGTCTCTGTATATCTATACTACAGTCCTATCGTATAAATACCACAAATGGATAGATTGGTGCATTAGATTAGATTAGATTTGAAAAGCTTTGGTGTGTAGCAGTTTAGTGAGTATTTATACATATCCCCCTCCTCCAAGCACATCAATGATTTGGTGACATAGGCTCTGATCTGACATCTCTGAAGTCAGTGTACAGATTCTCAGCTGGTGTAAGTCAGCGTAGCTCCAGCAACTACATCAGTGCACACCAGCTGAGAATCTGGTTCTGTGTGGATTTTGATCAGTGACAGCAGTATCAAGCCCAGACTTGAGAAGCCTCTAGGTAAACTGAGCTTTGGCTTCTTGGCTTTACGTTGTGGTGCAGCCTGGAAGATAGAATAAGTATCTACAGACTGGAAATCAAACTATCCGGAATTCCAGTACAGCCACCTGGTTGGACACGAGGTTATATTTCAAGACAGTGAAAGTCTAGCCTCTGCTGGTTCATCTTTGCAACTTCTAAATTGCTATGTATGGCATTTATTATAAGACGGGTTGAAGCAAGTAAGGTATCAATAGGCTGCATAAATTCTCAGCTACCACACCACTCTAAGGCTTTGTCTACACTGGAACTTGGTTGGCAAAACTTTTTTCATTCAGGGGTGTGAAAAAAACCACACACCCCCGAATGACAAAAGTTTTGTCGACAAAAAGTGCCGGCGTGAACACGCTTTGCTGGCAGGAGAGTTCTCCTGCCGACAAAGCTGCCCCCGCTTGTTGTGGGTGAAAGTGGCTACACTTCACACCTTATAGTGGCATGGCTGTAGCGGCACAGTTGTGTCACTAAGAGGTGCGTAGTGTAGACATAGCCTGAACTGCCTCATGCATATACTCCAGTTCCCATCTGCCCGTTCATGAATTCCTCACCCACCTACCTGCAGCTTGTCAATCAATTAAGTTAAACTATGTTCCAACCTTGATATTCATAGAAGGTCCTTAGAGAGGAATGAGGCCATTAATCTGAAAGTGGATTTCATCATTGTTATCTGTGGCTGAGATCACTGCGCTGTTCCAGTGCTGCTTCCTTATAGCCCCCCTGTTAAATCTCTGACATTTAATCATATGTAAAATCAAGCTGCTCACCTACCTACGTACTAGTGAAAAAGACCTGAGTGCTGTAGGTAGCAGAGGCACATGTGCCCGTTGGGAGGAATGAATGTTGTTATGGATACAGAACTATCCTCACACAAGTTTATATTTAATAGTGGAATAATTTCACTATCAAATCAAGAAGAGTGCAAGAATTTTCAAAGGAGATACAAATGACAGCAAAAGCAAAGAGGCTAGCTTCAAACCCCAGAGATTGCTATACAGTAACCGGATGGGTCTGTAATATGCAGAGGGGATGCAGTCATGTCTCTGTTCTGGAGCTGAGCATCACAGGAACAGCTCAGGAAACAAGACAACCAAGGGGAGAGAAGAGCCAATGACATCTATCTCACTGATGCACACAGTCCATTCCAGCAGGCATAATGTTTAGGGCAGGGGTTCTCAAAGTCTTTCAGTGTGTGCACCCCATTTTACCATAGAACTGAGCCTGGATCTTCACTTCCTTCCACCGGTGTAAATCAGGAGTATATCTACTGAAAGTCCATGGAGTAATGCTGGTGTAAAACTAGCAGGAGTGAGTGAAGAATCACACCCTTTGTCTCCTGGGCACCTCTCCACCCACTCCTAATTGCCTACCATTACTCTTCCCAGTGAGTGTGAAGTGCTACCATTCTGAGCAGAGGTGTTTTACACCTCACCTTTGTATTTACTTTACACAGGAGTAAATGATTACATTCAGAGCTAGGCAGGAGAGACCTATGCCTGGTAGGTTGTAAGGATATTGTAACCAAGACAGAGTATTTACATTCAGTGTATGTCTACACTACAGGTGCCACTGCTGTAACGTTGTAGTGTCAACACTTACCAGAGTGATGGCAGAGGTTTTTCAGTTGCTGTAGTTTTTCCAAGAGGCGGTAGCTGGGTTGATGGAAGAATTCTTTTGTTGACGTAGCTGTGTTTGCAGTGGGGTTAGGTCAACCCAGCGACATCACAGCCCTGAACAATATAGCTAGGTTGACCCAAGTTTTAGCTGTAGCCGAGGCCTCAGCCTTAAGTATTGGACACAAAAAAGGTCCAGCTGAATCTTGTTGCCGAGTGCGAACGTTAAATAATGTTCCCTGCAGCAAATCTGAAAATAAAATAAAAACTGGTGATGGGGCTGACTCATCTTTTTTATGCTCTAGAGACAAATATTCAGTAATTGACTTTCTTCTAACTAGCTTAAATAGCACCTAGGCACCTCCTTGTCTTTTACAGAAGAGACTGAAGTAAAGCACTAAAGTGTCTGTTGCTAAGTCCAAGTGACAGCCATTGTAACAAGAGCTGTAATGAGTGGAATTTCTCCTGCAATAATGAACAAAAAGCAATATATTATTAAATACAAGTTTTATAAACACATAAAGGAAACACACATGGAAATGAATAAAATCAAGACTGAACTGTAGGCGAAATAAATAAAACATGCATATGCTCCAGCATCTCACTTGGAATCAGAGATGACTGTAGAAAATAATTTGATTTTGTATAGCGTTTGCGATAGACAAGGAATCCCAAAGCAATTTAGAAAGCACTGATACTGGTAAGGATGGAATATGAGGCGAAGTCTGAGCTTTTCAAAGCTGCCTAAGGGATTTGGGTGCCCAGTTCCCATGGGATTAGGGAATTAGGTGCCTAAAGCTCTTAAACTTCTTTGAAAATCACAGTCTAAATTCCTATCCTCTACTCTGGATGAGCGTTGAAGCATATTGTGGAGTCATGGATGGAAAGCTCCCTTCTCGAAGATCTCCCAGAGTTCCAACTGGCCAGACTTCCTCAGAACTCACTCACTGTCCACCTTCT